ACGTGTACAAGGTCCCTGCCGAGGCAGGCCGTGACGGATTCAGTGCTACGTGTACAAGGTCCCTGCCTTCAGAGAGCTTACAGTGAAAGAGGAGATAAGACAGATGACCAAATGGTGTTGCCCTGAGACAGTGTAAAGGAAGGATTGAAGAGAAGTTGGGGGTTGTAGTATTGTAAGGCAGATGCAAATGGGGAGTGATATTGATGTGGTACAGAGTTCCATGAGGGAGAAATGAAGAAATAGACCTTCTGAAAGCAGGGCAAGCTGTGCTCAGAAAATGAACAAGTACTGTTTGCATAACAGGATACGTAGCTTTGAAACAGAAAGGTATTTTGTGGCCAGGCTGTGAAAGGCATCAAGCATTCTGTTAGCTGGCAGCAGCAGGGACTTGACTATTCGCGCCTGTGCAGGGACAACAGCTAAGGCAGTTATTTGTGGGATGGCTTAGTCCATCCCTGGGTTGTATGAGAATTTAGGGTGATGTCACAGCAGGGGATGGCGTGCACCTGTCCAGAAACTGAGCTGGGGGGTTGCTGTCCACAGAGAGAAGACTGAGAGAACTGGGGGAGGGCAAGAGAGGGCTGCCGCGCTGAGGGAGAGAAGCAGAGTGCAGAGACGGGCAAAAAAGGAAGCTGGGGGGGGCAGAGGTGTGTCTGGCGGTCCCTGTCCTGAGACAGAAGAGCTTGTCTAGATGGAGAAGGCCATGGCCACCACTGTGGGGATAAGAGTGTCACTTTCAGAGCCATTCATGGGAATATGAAGGTTGATACATTACAAAGAATGGCAAATAGGGGATAAGGAGAAAACTGAGACCCGAGTCCTAAGGAAATCCGTGGTAAGAAAACTGGGGAAGGAAGAGAGGTAGACTCAGGAAATACATGCATGGACTGAGGAGAATTACTCAGATGGGCATTCTAGCAAGGATACATTCTGGATTCTGAAGCCGTAGCACTGAGTAAGACAAAGTCCTTTCTCTTCTGGAGCTGTCATTTACTAGCATAAAGGGTAATGCTAGGTAGTAAAGAGGCAAGCAAATGTAAGCAGATTGAGAATATTCCATAAACAATCCAGAACAAAGCCAAAGCGGGGGTGTCACCGAGGGAATCCTGTTGGCCATATGCTTTCATTTTAACAGATGAGTGTTCAAAGTCATTGGGTTTAATGATGATCACAGTTTGTGGAACTAAAGCTTTCCTTACTCAGCCTTTCCTTCCCTCAGTATTGTACTCAAGATGTATTTTATAAGAGCATTCCTTGTTCATAAAATTGTGAGTTTTGAACATAAGCAGCGATTTACAATAGTAAAGATGTTGAGACTTGTTTTTGTTGAAGTTTGGTGACTTTCCTTGTGAGATGGAAATAAACCAGTTTATGCATATGAGCCACTAGAACCAAAGGGTGACCACTAGCTATTTTTCATATATGGGCTTTGAAGTGGGTTTTTTTTAATCATTTATTTATATTTATTTATGTATTTGACACAAGGTCTTGCTATGCAATTTGGACTCATAGTGATCCTCCTGTCTTAACCTCCCCTGAGACGCCACCACACCCTGTCTTGGTGGCTGGCTCAGTGTGCCTGGGGCAGAGCCAGCAAGGGGTACTGGGGATCAAGCCCCAGTCGTTGCGCTTGCCAGGCAGGTACTTAGACCACTGAGCTATCTCCCTGGCCAGGGCTGTGAGGTTTTTAACCGAACAGTGTTGATGCTGGGAATAGAACTACTGAGCTGTACTCCTACCCCTGAGTAACAACTTGTGAGATCCGTAGTACTGATCTTCTGCTACTTCTCTGTTAATAAGTACTCCTAGTCTCTACATATGTGTGCCCCCGTGCCCAGCTCCAAAGTCTCTTAAGTTCTTTCCCATAACCTTCCTTTTCCAAAATGACTTTTAACTTGACTATGCGACTTAGAAACCTGGATATTAATTTTTTTTCAGAATCTATACTTTTTGTTACTTCTTACTGTGACCTTCACTTCACTTCAATTTCTAATATCACATTTTTGTAACTAAGTTATAGTTACTTATAATTAAAATTCACTAGCATTATATGAGTCAGTGTATTTTACTTGAAGTAAATGAATACATCCATCAGAGGAGGGTAGGCTTTTTGTTGTTTGCAACTTGAAGTTATTGAAAATTTTAAAAATGAAAGCCTTTATATATGTTCATTGTGACTTACGGAATTTCTTTTACGTTAACCTGTCCTAATAGCTTTTTCAGATGTTGAAAAAAATATGCTTCCTTTAAAACCAATACTTATGAGTCCTTATATGCTGTAACTAGAGCTACTTTCAGTTCACCAGAGTTCTAATCCTGCTGACACAGGAGTCCCCTCTCTGCAATGATTCTTTATACCCAGATGAAGTTTTCTGCCCACAGAAGTTGACTCACTTGCTGAGTTGCAAAAGTGGGCCAGGAGTTCAGCTCAGCAGCACAGCACTTGCCTGGCAAGCCTGAGGTCCTGAGTTGTTTCCCGGTACCAAAAAGGGGGAGGGAAGTTTTGGGTTTTTTGTTTTTGTTTTTATAAGAGAAGACCTTAGGACCAGGGAGCTAGCTCAGTAGAATAAGTACTTGCCTGGTAAGCACAAGGGCCTGAGTTCAATCCCCGGTTCTGCCAAAAAAAAAAAAAAAGAACTAAGACCTTGTAAAGGCCCTTGATACTCGAGTTAAAGGGACTTTTAAAATATTTACTAGTTAATTAAGTAAACTTGAATGAATTTCTGTTACCTTTTACTTAACAATATAAATAGAGCAACCATTTAAAAAAAAAAATACCAAACTTTATACTGACAGATACATTACCCACATGAAGGCAATCTGCATGGAAATAAAGCCTGCAGATCCTTTGAGGGACAGTTTTTTAAAAGCACGTCGTGATTTGGTTTGCTTCGGTTTGGTTTCACTTTTTCCAAGGGTGAAAAAGAAACATTAGAGAGTTAAGTTTTAATTTTTTACCATATAATAATTTGGCACTAAAATTCACAAATACATGGTCAGCCAAACTTAAGTAAGAGGTAAGTGGTATTTTCAAAAATACTTTCTTTAGTTGACTTTCAAAAATTTTTAAGGATTTTTAAGTTTGTTTATTTTGTTTTTGGTGGTAAAGATCAATTCTAGGACTTTGCTGATATTAGCCATTTCCTGAGATGAGTTAATAGTTTTTTGAGGTGATAATTTTTTAAAGATATCACTTAATTAGATGGCATATTCTTGAAAAATTAATTACCAGATGTGTTACTTTTGTAGTCACTTCCTGTTTTTCTATAGTAATCATTAGAAACCCTAAATTATTTCTGTCTACAGTGATACTCATTTTTATTCGATTTTTGCCTTCGTGTAATAAATTTGTCTTAAATTGACAAAATACCTTTTCCTGGTGGCCTTAAGCTAAGAACATCTTAGATTATAAAAATTATTTCCTGTGAACACACTTAAGGTTTTTGCAGTCAGTGCATATCAGTTTACTTACATGTCTTGTTTTCTATTAGATTTATTCTCCTGACCATACAAGCAGCAGTTTTCCATCAAACCCCTCAACACCGGTTGGATCACCTTCACCTCTGACAGGTATGCTTCTAACTTGTCTCCTGTTTCATAACGTGTTAGTCCACATGCAGATAATTCAATCGTTTATTCTTCAGTTGAACAAAAGCACCCTGGCATTCGCTCTGGAGAATACTGAAAGGCTTGGTAGCTTTAATTTATTGCTGTGTATATTCTAGGTACTCAAAGTTGTCATCATTTTTAATAGTAATTGTAATGGAATAAAAATAAGTCTAGACAGGATGGAAGTAAGGTACAGAGGAGCAAAATCAATTCTTTTTTAATAAAATGGCATAGAAAGTATATGAAAATAGTCTTTTTAGAAGCGTGAGGTTTGGGGATGTAACTCCATGGGAGAGGCTGTACTCAGCGTACTTGAGGTCCTGGTTCTAGTCCCCAGCACCACAAGATCATGAAAACTGTACGGAACTTCCCCCGCTTCCTTCCTCCACACTGCCCCTGCACACGTGTGAGCACCATAGATGAATAACTGCGAGTGTAGACAGGTAGTTTTTATTTTTAGGCCCACTAAATTACTGCTTCACACACACACACAGACACACAATTCTTGAAGATGAAGTTTTCTACTAAGAAAAAGGGCTCTCTATGCTTATGGCTGAATAGTGTTAGTGGAGATCCAGTAAATGGTCCAGATTTGCTTCACTTCCCCCTGTTTGTTTGTTTGTTTGTCTGTTTGTTTGTTTGTTTGTTTGTTTCCACAATAGTTTTGACAAGTTCAAGATAACTGTCCTTCATTATGAATTTGTTGAGACACAGTTGCAATTGTAAATAAGGACTTTGGGACCAGGGAGATGGCTCAGTGGAATAAGCATTTCCCTGGCAAGCAGAAGGGCCTGAGTTCAATCCCTTGTTCTGCCAAAAAAAAAAAAAAGTAAATAAGGACTTTTAAAATACTATAAATAAATAACATTACATGAAAATGTTGTGTATCTGTTAAGCTATAATTTTAAATGTTAACCTTTAGTTTTCTGGGTATTGTTTAGAGAAACAACTTAGCCTAAGGAAAACAATACATAGCTTCTTTGAAGAAAAGACATTATTAGGCAGCTGGCTAAAATTGCCCTATTCTTCCAACAGGAATTGATTGCAGAAATAATTCTGTTCTCCTAAGCCACTAAAAGCCAGTCTTTCCATGCTTTCTGCCTGTGTCACTTGTGCACATTTTCTAGCAGCCGGGGCTTGGAGATGGCAAGTCCCACTCTCACCTGTGCTGCATGTGCCTGGGGTCCTGCTCAGCAGCCGCACTGTGGGGACGCGCTCTAGGCAGCTGCTGGCAGCTATTAGCAGGATCTGTCAGTTTTGCAGACGCTCCAGCTTCAGCTGTCTAGTAAAAGTTGAGCAGCTGTTCCCTACACAGACAAGACTGTGAAAGACTCATTGACTTAAAGTTGTTGTTTAACAGAGCTAAATTACAGAAAGAATGATGTAGCTTTCAGTCCTCTTCACCACCTTGGCATACTTCCTTTCTACTAAAATTAGTGCTGTTTCTGTGCAGCCTGTTTCTTGCTCTCATCGGAGGTGTCCACGGCTGTGCTTACTATACATGCCCTCTGCTCTCCTTCCTGACTGTCCTTCAGTGTAGTTCACACTGGGAGGAAGGTTGGCATGGAGAATGGGACAGAAGGTGCCAAAGAAAGCCTCACGTACCCTTCTCCATCTTGATATGTGTAACAAGTAGTAATCTCTCTCTCTTTTTGAGATAGAGTCTCTATGTAGTTCACACTGGCCTTGAATTTTCTATGGAGCCCAGACTGATCTGGAACTCACGGTGATCCTCCGGCCTCAGTCTCCCAAGTGATGAGAGCCAGGCATGCACCACTACACTGAGCTTTAACGAATGAAATTCTTTTCCCCTTATAATTCAACTGATTAATGAAAATATAACTATTAAATTATATAACGAAGGTTAATAATAGGCCTCCTTTTCATTTCAGCAGGCACAATCAAAGAAAAATACTTTCACATACTCCTGTGGAACCATCAAATCAAAATAATGATTTTGTGGAGATGCATCTTCCCTGAGTTTTATGTCTATGGGGTTTTCTTCTTAGCCCCACCTGTTTACTAGGTGCACATGCATGCACACGTACACATGCACACACGCACACACACACACACACACACATACACACACATATAGTGAAAAAACAATCTAGAGGAAGATGAAAGAAAAGCACTGACACAAAAGATTGTAAGGGAAAACAGAAACAGCAGCTCCGCACTCCCCCATGCCTTCCACCTGAGCATCATTGGATTTAAGCACAGACTGTCAAGAGGGCCCAACAGAAGCAGATAGCACACCCTGGCAGCAAATCCTGGCTTATGTGTGTTCATCGCCAGTGAAATGTCATAAGCAGGAACTTAAGTTTCTGCTGACACAGTATTTATGCGGAGGCTTCTGAGATGCTTGCTGTGTCAGTTAGAACACTTTAGAGATGGAAGGGAAAGGAACTCTCATCCCAGCCAGCTTGAACTATACGAACATTTATTACCAGGTGTAGCAAGAAGCCCATGGCAGCAGGGGCTTGGCCTTTTGTCTCAGGGTTCCTGTTCTGCTTCTTAAGAGTGCTTTTTGTTTTTCTGGCTGGTCTGTTTAAAGCATTATAATGTGGGCATAACAATATCCGATAAAAGCAAAAGGGCTATGTCTTCTTATCTGTTACCCTTTTCCAGGGGCCTCTTCTGAAGGGTTCCCCACAGCACCAGTCAGCACTGGGCTGAATTTAGTTGCTGGTAATATACAAGGAAATTTCATACTACAAAAGGAGACCTTGGGCCAGGGATATAGCTCAGCAGCATAAGTGCCTGCCTGAAAGTGCAAGGTCCTAAGTTCAATCCCCAGTACTGAAGAAAAAAAAAAAAAAAAAAAAAAGTGCTAGAAAAGGAGACCTGGTCTGACCCAGGTAAGCATGGGTCCACCTAGCCTTCCTTTTGGAAGTGGAAGCAGGACTCCAGCAGCAAAGAAACAGACCTGAGTCTGTATCTGCAGCACTTGTCAGAGAGGGGTGGGCACCACACTTCCGTGAAGAGAGCATGCTCAGCAAGAATACACGGAAAACAGACATTCTTTGGCTTTCTTTGCTTCTTTGTGGCATAGAAATGAATAAAATCTAGTAATTGTAGAACTCAGTCATGGTCCTTAGCATTTACAGTTTAAAAAGTTTGAATCTTTAAATAGAATTCAATGCGATACTTGTTTTATGATCAGTATACCTGCTGAAAGTTACCTGATTTCAGAAAATTTCTAATTTGAGAATATAAGATGAAAATTGAGACACAGGACTCACTGTCAAGATAGGGATTTTCAAAAGAGGAGAAGGAATATTCTGGGTATAAAAGGAGGAGCATGGGGCCTGGGGAGATGGTGCAGTAGAATAAGCACCTGCCTGGCAAGTGCAGGGTCCTGAGTTCAATCCCTGGTTCCAAAAAATAAATAGGTAATGAAAAGTAAGAAGAGGAGCATAGCAGATGCCAGCTGTGAGAAGGTGTGTAGGCAGCGCTCTGGAGTCGCTGCAGGGGGGCAGCGGGCAATGGGGCATGCCTGGGTGTCGGAGTACGCACATGCAGAGCCTGGCCGGGGCTGAGCGTGGCGAGCAGAGCGTGCACTGCCACCTGAAGGCTGGTGTGGCCCGGCCTCTTCTGAGCGTCAAGAGACTTTAAGAAAATGTGAGTTAGGGGAGACTGCAATGAAAAGCAGCTAACAGAATGAGAAAATATGTAGTAAACGGTCCTCAGGGTTCTCAGCCACCCAAAATGTTACCTATCCCATAATTTCATTAATAAATGATAGTAGATGAAGATTGGTTGAATTGTAGATTGAGTAGCAGAGGCCTTCCAGATTTTGACCAAAGAATTCAACTATTTTATCTTAGTCACCCAGCTAGCTTGTTTTCTATAAATGTTCAATAAACTTTAAATTCAAGTAGGTTTATTATAACCTTTCTAGAATATGTACCTTTTGGGGATGATTATACAGTAAAAAGCCTACAGGAATGACAGAAGTGGTTTCCTACAGAGAACAATAGAAAGCTTGTATTTGTCTAATAGAAGGAAGCAGAGCCCAAGACCTGTATCTATCCCTACCTGCTTTTGGGCACACTGAAGGACTTTAACCCCTGAGCTCCACAAGCTATGTGCTATTTGTTTATTAATGGCCTGGTTTAGGATCACAAGCTACAGGCACCAATATGACTCTAAATTTGATGTGTATATTTTTATTCTCACACTAGTTTTTTAAACCACTTTTTAATGAAAATTCATATGAAAAAATTTCATAAGAAAAGCTAACAGTAGTTAATATACTGTGTATCATTATCTTCAAAATGGAGTATAAGACAAACTAAAAGATTCTGACAAAGAAGAAACATACATATAAAACTTTCTTTTCAATGAACTAAGATTAACTAATAGTTATAAATAAAACAAATTAGCATATATATTAAAATATTTTTTTTTAAATTTATTTGAGAGAGAGAGAGAGAGAGAGAGAGAGAGAGAGAGAGAGAGAGAGAGAGAGAGAGAGGTGTGTGTGTGTGTGTGGCCAGCTCAGCCCACCAGGGGGCGGGGCTGGCTGGCATGTGGTGCTGGGGGATTGAACCGCGGTCCCTGATGCTTTGCTGAGCTTGTTTTAAGTAGGTGCTTTAGACCACTGAGCCATCTCTCCAGCCCCTTAAAATATTTTTGAAACAACAGACTAGGCAAGATATTTAAACTTTTCCCTACTTCCTGTTTATCTTCTGTTTTGCTGTGTCCGTGTGTGTATTATTTATCATATAAGAGAAGCCATACAGTACTTAAGCTTGTATATTTTGTTTATTTCATTTACCATATTCTCAAGTTACAATTACTGGTCCCAGCCTAGGCGCAGCATGGGTGAGACCCTTTTCCACCCCTTGGGACGCCCCCCACCACTCCGCAGCACCTCCCCCACCCTGCCCGCCGAGTAGGAATTTCTGCCGCTTTCCAGGAACCCCCAGTCCCAGTCCTACCCCAGGTCCGGTGAG